ATCCTCCCATTTTGGCCTCCGAAGTAGCTGGGACTACAGGTTTCCACCACTACACTGGGCTAAATTTTTATTATTAGTTTTTTGTAGACATGGGGCCTCACTGTGAGGCTCAGGCAGGTCTTGAACTCCTGGCTTCAAGTGACCCTCCTGCCTCGGCCTCCCAAAGTGTTGAGATTAAGGTGTGATGGTGGGGGCAGAGCAATGATAGGGGATGAAGATGGACAAACTGCAAGGACTCAAACACTGATGGGCTTCCTATGCCAGGCATGATTTTCTCATGAGAAAAGAGGAGTGACTGAAGAGTGGAAAGCAGGAGAGTTAGGTGTCACCCACGTGTTCTCTAATGACCCTTGTGCCTTGTGCCTGTTTATGAGGATGGGTTTGAGATGACAGAGGCTGGAGGGCTCTACCCCACAGAAGGCTGTTGAGTTAGACAAGATCATAGAAGCCAGTGGGCTGTACCAGGGGACTAGTATGAAGGACTGAGGATGGTGGGAAATCTGTGGGATTTTTAGGAAGGGGAACCGGACATCTTGGTAATTTGTTGGGAATACAGGCAATGGGGGAAAACATGGAGCCTGAGTTGGTGCCTAGGTTTTTAGAATGAGTGACTGGTAGAGAGTTGAGCTTTAAGTGAGAAAACCGAAAGTGAAAGAGAGGCACGTTTTGGTGGAAAGACTTTATATTCCCAGCTGTCATAAGAGCTGGATCATTAAATAAGGAATGTGATCGCTGGATTCAGACTCTGGCAAACCAGCAGGATAATCCTTGGATAAGACAGGAACCTTCCTGGATTTCCATTTCCAAACTCATAAAATGGTCATGACACCATCCTAATCCAAAGGGTTGTTGAGAAAGTAAACAAGGATGAAGCACATGGGAGCCCGGGGCTGGGCACAGCAGGACTTTGTATGTGCTGGTGAGTCTGAATCTGAAGAATCATAAAGATTTCCCAGTGTCTGGTTTGTTCAGTCTGGGAAACGCATGTGAAAGGAAAAGAGTTGTTCATATCCTTCTTCATGCATGCACTCACTTGTTCATGTATCCATTCATTCATCCACTTGCTAAGAATTTATTGAAGGCTTTCTGTGTCAGGTGGCAAGACAGTAAAGATTCACTTTGCTCAGACAAGGATTCCTTTGGGTGCTTCTTGGATGCTGTGTCCAACCCCTTGTCAAAATTACTTGGATCATATCTGTAATCTTGCTCCAGAGAAAGGGTGCTACCGAGATGTCCCTCAGGATCCTGCAGGCCCTACATGACCCTTCCTTTCCTGTGGCTGTGATGACACCGCACACTGTGTGGTGACCCGTGAGTTAGCATTTCTTCTCATGTTGAATAAAATTCATGGGTAGACAAATTATAAATAATGGTAATAAAAGTAATGCTAAAATTGACTGAGTATTTTCTAATTAATTGCACCTCACATCTACGATCTCAATTAATTTCATAAAGTAAGTTTATTTTTTCCCCAGCTTTATTAAGGTATAATTGACCAATCAGAATGGTATATATTGTTCAGTGTGATGTTTTAATACATGGATACCCTGCGAACTGATTAAACCAAGCTGATTAACATATCCATCATCTCACATACTTATCACTCTTTGTGTGTGTGTGTGTGTGCGCGCGCGCGCATGCGCGCGCACGCGTAAGAACATTTAAGATCTACTCTCTTAGGAGACACGTCTAGTTTTTCTTAGCTTATAGATGAGGCAACTGAGGCTAAAATAGGTTAACTATTTTGGTTAGAACCATCCAGGAGCTGTGATGGGAACCCAGGTCTGTGTGAGTACAACTTCTATTATACTATCTGACAGTGTATTGTAATTCAGTAAAATACTAAGTTAGCAGATTGTCCATGTTCCCATGTGTTTAGAAGGAAATTGTATCTTGACCTCCCTGGTCGGGCTCCATTTCCTTTTCTGTATCTGCATTCTGTCCATGCATCTTTCCTAGGTATATCACTCTGTTCTCTTGTTCAATTGACTTAATTCTCTGCATCCCTCCTTAGAATAGGAGCTTATGGAAGGCAGGGGCCACATTGTAAGGTGTCATATGTCTCAGTGACACTGCTAATGATCTGCCAAATGTATGTGTGTATATATGAACTGCACACTATAAACTTTTCTAGCACACAGCAAAATCTGCTTTTGGAACAACTAAGAACTTTTATAGATGATTATATTTTAATTGATGTGAAGTTACCTACTCAGTTTTCAAAAATCGCAAAGGCCATCTGGTCTGAAAAGGCTTCTGATGCATGATTATGAATTTCTTTATGCTTCCGCATCAGGGCCTATCCTGCTCCACTATTTACTTTAAAGAATTATAATTCTCTATCCATCTCATTCCATATGTCTTGAGTCCAGAGCCCTTTAAATTTTATTTGTGTCATTTTTATTTTATTGCTTAGCACCCTTGACCAAGCATATTGGACTCTGTTACAGCTTCTCCATCACTTTCTAAAAACAGACTGATAAGAACTCTACTGGGTCATGGTGTTCAGTGGCCAAAGCTTGATTCTCAAGCACCTGATAAATTTAAGCCTGTAAAGTCAAGAGAAAAATTATCCAGAGCGTTGTCTGGAAAGTCAGACAAGGTCAGTAAGCACAGAAACAAACCATTTCTAGCCAGCCTGCCAAGGCAAGGAGTTTGAAGCATAGTCCTTGTGTTCTGAACAAGGGAGCAGGAGGGGATAGAGAATCTAGGGCTTCGAACAGAGGAGGCTCGTGTGGACACCCCAGTTCCTGACCCTGACAACAGTAATTTTAGGCACACCAGGTAACCTCTCTGCTCTGCACATTTGTTTCAATTTGCTTGCCATTCTTTTTTTTTCCAAAAAAAATGGCTTGATCTTTTTTCTTAAAATTTTTTTGAAACAATTTCAATGTTACAGAAAAGTGTCAGATACAATACAAAACAATTTTTTCTCTAAAACATCGTAAAGTAATTTGCCAATATTTGAAAGAGCCAAATAATGATGCCCAATGCTCTTGGAATATTTCACTGTGTTTTCTATAAGTCAAGGCATTCTCTTATAGAAATACAATCTAGCCATCAAAAAAATTAGCATTGATGTATTGGTATCGTCTAAACTTCAGACACCATTCAGGTTTTACCAATTTTTCCCAATGTATCATTTATTGCAAATGGATTCAGTTCAGAAATACCTGTTGTGTTTAGCTCTACCTTCTTCAATTGGGAACAGTTCTTAAGTCTTTCCTTCACCTCCCACACTTTCATACTTGGAAGTTCGCAGGAGAGAGGTTTGATTGAAGGTCCTTCAGCTGGGTTTGTCTGATCTTTTCTCATGATTGGATTCATGTTACGCAGTCTTCGGCAGGCCCAAATGACTACCTAGTTTGCAGGGCTTGTTGCAAAATGAAAATGTGGGGATCCTTGTTCAAAAACGAGGGAAAAAAGTGTTAGTAAAGGCACTAGAATATAAAGCTTTTTGTTTTTTCCATTGTCTCTCTCGGTCCGTCATGGTGTTTATTATTTGCTATTTAACATCACACTCCCTCTGACTCCTGGATACTTATGGTGTTAGAGAAGACACTACAGGCTCCTGGAGGCACCACCCCGCAACTTAGGGCACTGCCATGCATATCTCCAGCCACCAGCCACGCCTCTTGCCTTCCCACCAGCCCAACATCCCATTCCACAGTGTACAGGTGAGTCCCCAAGGGTGATTCTGCACTGGGCACCTGAATCAGGGATGGGCGAGAGGCTTCGTGTCCACTGAATTGTCACCTAATGCCCCATAGCACTGCCCAGGTTTGGGCACATAGTAGACATTCAATAAATACTGGCTTTCTTCCTTAGAGCGAGTAGAGCTGGAAGGTATCTAATATCTTCACAAGCCCAAACTTCCCCCTGTAGAAAGCAGGAGTTGAGGTCCAAGGAGTTGAAATGAGTTGCAGATCTGGAGCTCCCGACTCCAAGTCGGTAATGCTGAGTTCTATTCTCTGCCTTTCTCAGGTGCCGGTTCTCTGGTGCTGGGAGTGAAAATAAAAATGATATACCACAGGCCATAGATGAGACACTGGAGCCTCCTACATAGATATTCCTGCAACACAACTATTCGTCACTCGTTCACCTAACACTCCTGCTGTGTTAGGACACGGAGCACCCCAAAAATGTGAGCATGTGTCCTGCTCACAATCTGTCAGTGAGACAGAAAGGAACTCATAGTGACTTAGGCTAGGCATTTATGATTTTACTTATAGTTTTTCTGGCAGTTAAGGAAGTGTTTCTATATTTATTACCATTACAACTCTATAGGGCAGGTTTTCCTAACCCATTTTACAGTGGGAAACCTATGGCTTTAGAGACTTTAGGCAAGGTACACATAGAAAATGTCAGAGCTGGTGGGGTGGAGGGCAGAAGTCTGTCTTGTTCTGCCTCGAGGGCTAGTACCGGCTACATCCCGGCATCCTCCCTGGAAGAGCCAGCAAGACTGGGATAGAAACATGTTGTCTCCGGCCCGGTGCAGTGGCTCATACCTGTAACCCCAGCACTTCGGGAGGCCAAGGTGAGTGGATCACCTGAGGTCAGGAGTTCGAGACTAGCCTGACCAACATGGCAAAACCTCATCTCTACTAAAAATACAAAAATCAGCCAGGCATGTTGGTGCATGTCTGTAATCCCAGCTACTCGGGAGGCTGAGGCGGGAGAATGGCTTGATCCCAGGGGGCCGAGGTTGCAGTGAGCTGAGATTGCGCCATTGCACTCCAGCCTGGGCAACCAGCAAAACTCTGTCCCAAAAAGTAAAAAAGAGAGAAAAGAAAAATGTTGTCTCCAGTGACTTGTTCTCAGGGAGGCAGCCCAGGGGGCCTGACTAAACTTGCTTCCCTCGGGCTTCCCCAGCACCCCAAGGGGCTGTCCTTCCTACCCCCAGCCCTGTGAGTCATCTTCATTGAGTTCCAAGAATCCCCACACAGCTGTGTGACTGTACATTGCATGCTGACACTAAATGAGCAGTGACCGGACGCTGCCTTCCATGTGGGACACGAGCCCTTGATGCCTGATAAAGCCTGAAAGCCACAGTCTGCCCTGGAAACCCAGCTCCAGCCTGCTTCCGCCACATCAGGAGGGGGTAGGTTCAAAACCGCGTTCAGGGCTGATGAATGAAATACGTTATTAAAGATAATTCTTCTGAAAGCAGAGGTAATTATCCCAGCATTAACATTTCTAATTTAATTCAACCCTGATTAAACTTTTTCTTTCAGAAGGAGGAAATTGAAAGTGTGAAACACCAGTGGGAGGAAAAGGTTCCTCTAACAAATGTGGTTATCAATGGGATAGAAGCTTTCTAGAGCTTATATATGGGGCCGAGTCATGCACACTTCATCATATTCACCAGGTGGGGCTTGGAGAACAGCCTCCGTCTTATATAGTCAGCTGAACTCCAACGTTCTTTCCAGAGAGGAATTTTAAGAGGTTAATTTTGATTTTAGCTATCATGTGACATTCCCCTTGGCCCTCCACGCTGTGCTGGTCTTTGCTGGGCACCTCGCTGTTTCCTCTGTCCTTTGAAATCATAATTGTTTGGTTACCTCCTCTTCTTCCTCATTAGTCAGAGCCCCCCAAAGGCAGGGATAATGATGTAAGTACTTTTATATCCTCTAACTGAGAATAGTGTCTGGCATGGAGAAAAAACCCAATACATGTTTGACCAACCAATGACCGATGGCGCTGATCAACTTAAAAAGCTTTCGTGTTTTCATTTACCAACATCCCTATATGCTCCAAAACAACTTATTTGTTTCTTGGTGTGAGAGCAAAATGCTTTAGCAAAGTACTTTGAGGGGAAGTGGAAATGGAGGTTAAGTAAAAAAGACCAACCCACTGGGGATAATAAAATGCAAACTTATATCTCCTGGATTTCAGAATGAAAGGTGGAGTTTCAGATCCCATTTCCCATATGAAATTCTTGGCTTGCTTTTTCCAACAGTCAGGCTAAAAAGGAACTTTTCACAAAAGAGGTATTTTTCTTCTTGGCCTGGAAAATCGATTCCAATGTTAATCTCGCTCCTTGGAATGTCCTCCCCCACCCTTTTCCACCTAGCAAAATACTCGTCTTTCACGGCCCAGCTCAGATGTCAGCTCTTCAAATAATAATCATCATTGCTAATATCTGTCGTGCATTAACTCTAGGGCAGGGGCTGTGCTAAGTGTTTTATAGAAATTATTTTACTTGCTGTTCACAAATCCGCATCAAATCAAGACTATGATTTATCATAAACTTACAGATGAGGAAGCTGAGGCCTATAAGGTGGTGTAATTGCCCAAGCTCAAGTGTGGATTTGAATGTGGGAGCCTTTAACCATGAGGACACTGCTCCCTCTGAAGTCTTCTGCCACTTTCTCCAGCCCTGCCTTTTGTGGAGATCCAGCACTGGCCCTGGCCGACACGTAATCCACATACTCTTAGGGGACCACCATAGCCTCTGATCCCCCTGACTTCAAGCTCAGCACTAGTGAACGTATGTTAAGCACCAATGCCAGGTCGATCTTCTTTGCACGCTGAACTCCCTAGCCTTGAGGTTGCTGTCCTTGTAGTCTCCTTTGCTCCATTCTCTGTTGGGCCTCTGTCCATCTGACATCGTACACATTCTGGTATTTACTTTTCTCAGCCTGGCTCTGCATCAAGAAAACAGCTTCCTGTCTTGTGTTCTCTCCCTAACACAGCATCAAGTGTGGAACACACACACTCACACACACACACACACTCAGCACTGTGCTAAAAACAGAGATTGGTGGACTTTAATTTTCCTCAATTCTTTGGAAGTCATTATTCCAACATAGTATTTTCACTCATTCCATCAAAACACTGATGTAGAACTAACTGCAGGGAGTTAGGGCTCATGGTAGCATTCAGGGGTAATTCTCCTGCCCAACCCTAACTTTTCTGACAAATAATTGCTTATTAGTCCAGATAAGGGTTGAGGGTTCATTTTCCTTTTCTTAAATCACATTTTCTTCATAAGACACTCTTCTTCTAGATGGTCTCACGATAGATATATTTGAGATTCTCAAGGATAAATGCATCAGCACATTAATTGTATGTGACCAAAATGCTCCCCAGGACACCACTATGAGATGTAGACAGGCAAAGCAAGAGAAAAGTCACTCTGGGCTCTGTTTTGCTGTTTCCATTGAAGACAAATATTAAGTATCCCTGAAATTCATGTCAAATTTTACCATATTGAGAAATAAATGGATAAAATGGTACTCTTTTCAATAAATATAACCTTATAACTTGCACAATCACATGTACTTGAATTTTCCCATCTCAAATGCGTTATATAAGCCGAGCTTTTTCTCCTGTACATACTCATGCCACAGAAGACAACACAGAAGAACCATAAGACAGTGACAATGGTTAAGAAAACTGATATTCGGCCAGGCGCAGTGGCTCACATCTGTAATCCCAGCACCTTGGGATGCCTAGGCCGGTGGCACCTGAGGTCAGGAGTTCAAGACTAGCCTGGTCAACATGGTGAAACCCTGTGTCTACTAATAGTACAAAAAAATTAGCTGGACATGGTGACACATGCCTGTAAGTCCCAGCTACTCAGGAGGCTGAGGCAGGAGAATCGCTTGAACCCAGGAGGCGGAGGTTGCAGTGAGCCGAGATCACACCATTGCACTCCAGCCTGGGCAAAAAAAGTGAAACTTCTGTCTAAAAAAAAAAGAAAGAAAACTGATACTTACTTACCAGCTGTGTGTCTTTGAGCAATACTTAAACTTCCCATTTAAGTCTCAGAGTTTTTATTGGAAAAGTGGAATTAGGAATGATAATATCTATTTTATTGGGTGCTTGTAAAGATGGAATGGTTTAATGTGCTCAATGTCTTATTATCACTACTAATACATGTTAGCCATTATTATGACTTAGTAGAGTCAGCACTGGATTGGGAGAAAGAAGACCTAACTCTTATCTCTGCTACTCACCAGCCAGTGGTCTTAAATAAATCACTTAAGCTGGACCTGAAAGCTCTCCACAATCTGGGGCCTGCCGGCAGGTCCGGCTTCATGCCGAGCTCTTGTCTACAACACACTTGGTTTTCCAGCAACTCAAGCTGTTTCTAGTTTATCACTCTTGCCGCTGGTCCACGTCTATCCCCCCGTGGGGCCCCAGCCATGCTCACACCAGTGTGGGCTTGTGTGCGTGCATCAGCTTCAGGCTTTGCATGTCTGTGTCCAAATTTCACCTCTGTATAAGGACACCAGTCCCATAGATGGGATGAGGACCCACCCTAATGACCTCGCTTTTGCTTGTTTACCTCTGTAAAGACTCTGTTTCCAAATGTGGTCACATTCTGACATGCCGAGCTTTAGGACCTCAACATATGGATGTTGCTAGGGGTAGGGGTGGGTGGGGACGGACACAATTCAACCCATGACATTTAGAGACTACGCAGACTTGGGGTTTGTAGCCTTTCTCTGGCGTAGTGTTGGTGTTTTTATTATTTACACTGTTCCCCACCCCACCAGTGAGATTTCATTCCTCATGAATTTACAGAGAGGCACATGGCTTATATTTCCTGAATTCTAACTCTCTTTTTTGCTGCTGCAAAGCTGTTATTCTCTTTGGTTTCTCCTTTCATCAACCTGGCTGCCAACCAACGTCTAAAAAAAAAAAAAAGTCCCCACACTGCAAGCTGAGTTCCTGCCTCGGGTCGATGTGGGTTTATTGATATTCCAGCATGGTTTGCTTCACGATTTATGCTCTGCAGTTTGTGAACCACAGACCCAAGAGGAAAAGAGATAGTGAAAGAGGGGATTTTTCGATCACTTTATATGCAGTAAGTGAATCTCAATTTCCTGCCATGTTATTTCAGAGTCCTTAAATATCCTTTTTTCTGCCTGGACATTAGAAACTATAAAAGCTCTACATTCTGTGGATGAAATATGAGTTCTGTAAGATCTATAATCAGAGCGACCTCTTAACAGTGCTGTGGTACCTGGGAACATATATATATCCCTGTGACGTGGAGTGAAGGGAGGATGCCTGTTCTGGGATGTGAAATGATACGAACATCTGAGGGTCTGTGAGAGATCTCATTATCCCTGTATCTCAAGGGCAGGAACCATACTATAACCCGCTTCCTCACTTCCCTTAGTGTACGTGCAAACCGAAAAACAGTGAAAGAATTGAACACAGTCATTGAGAATGCTGCTCTCTGTTCAGAGCAGGACTCTTAAAACAGGGCAAACCATGGTAGGGGTAATGAACTCCATAGGCATGTTTAGAATAGGAAAAAGCACACAGTGTCAGAGCCAGAGGAAGCCTTAGGAATTATTTTATGTGAGAGAAAACAAACGCCCATGACACTGTTTTTGAATGCATGTTGGTTTCATAGTGAGACAGAAAAACAAAACAAAACAACACAAAACACACACACACACACACCAAAACCAAAAAACAGGCTATTACTGGTAATGAATAAAATAGTGTTTAACATTCTATTTCTGGTAAAGCATAGAAATCATTTTAGGTGGTTTGCACAAACAGGGAGAGCAACAGAGAGGAAAAGGGAAAAGGAGGGTGGGGGATGACACTAGAGTCTCTGGGCACACTAAATACAGCCCATTTGCGGCATGAGCCTCTCAAAGGGTTGATTTAAATAATGAGAACACATGAGAAGTAAAATGTGAAGTTGCCAAAGGGTTCTGCTCCGGGAGCTGCAGGTAGTTCATTTCTAAGCCTCGAGGTTTGCACAGAAATACTTATGTGCATGATAACTGCTTCAGATGCATAGCTCTTTAGAGATTTTTCTGGCTCTCGCACAGTCCTGTGAGGAGGGTGATGGGGGAGGCTCAGGGAGGCTGATTTGTTCCTGTCGTGAAGAGCACAGGTTTGGAGTCTGAGGTTCAGGTTCAGTTGGCTTTGTGGCTTTCCACTGGTAAACCCCAGGCAGCTTATGAAGGAGTCCCAGGCATGACTGGAACTCAGGGCTCTTGGTCACCAGGGCAGGGCTGTGTTTCCCTTACCTTCTCCTTTTCCTCCTAACTGGGCCACGGGTTTTCTTAGGTCAGCTCTGTCCTGTGAATTCCTTGACATTGGGAGCTCTGTCTTGTTTTCCTCTGGTTTTGCCTGGTGACGTGCTGAGTAGGTAACAGAGAAATTGTACAACCTGAAGAACATCCTCCAAATTATTAATTTTTAATCTACCGCCTTTAAGATGCTCTTGTATTTGTAACCAGAAACCAAAGACCATGTTCTTCAGCTAATTACTCATCATCACTCAGCTGGCTTCTTCCAAGGGCAATTCCTCCTCTGTTTTCTTCCTTTCACAATGATTTATTGTATACCTATAAGTGCTGTGCGCCCCTGATGGTGGTCCAGGCTATGAGT